TGTATTGATCTTCTTTATCAATATATATTTTAAATTTGAAAATTGTGTTTGTATTCATCCCCCTCCCTTCTACAAACTGTTTAGTATTCTTGTAGACCCTTTTGGGACCAACAAAGCTCTTTCTAGAAATTTACTGAATAAGCAACTCTTAATTATCAGTAAGTTGTTACCACAATGTATAACTAACTAAATAAGTTGTGAGTCTCATTAAGCTTGTTAAGATGCTAACAAACATACTATAAGTGATTGAACATATATTTTTATATTTGAGACCACATTAGTTAATCATAGAAAAACTTTTTTTGGAATTTATTTTTGGAATTTAGGCCTAAATTGTATTTTAGGCATAATGTAGGGGGTAAACATGTAATTTTAAATTTTCATCTCAAAATCTGTTGTAAATCTGGTCGGGTTGGAGCGAGTACTCTGGAGTCTGGACTCACCTACTCACTCATAAACCCCCATTCTCTCTCTCTCTCTCTCTCTCTCTCTCTCTCTCTCTTATCTCCAATGGCGTCCATCGCCGCCGGCACGGGGCAATTCCTCAGCCTCCATCAAACTCGTTCCCGTTCAAAACTGCCATCTCCTTCGTCCTCCGCCTCTATTACTACTGCCACTATTAGATGCGAGCAAATTTTGTCTCAAAACCCTAAAAAACTAACAAAAACTCGACCCTCGAAAACTCCCTTATTTTCCGTCAAGAACCTCGCCATCTCCGCCGCATCCGGAATTTTATTTCACGTAGCGTTTAAGAATCCTTCCCTCATCGGCATCGGCGGTGGAAATGGTGGCGGTGGAGCGGGTGGAGGCGGCGGCGGTGACGGAGGCGGAGGTGGTGGTGGAGGCGGATTTTGGAAGAGGTTGCTCTCTCCTGCAGCTAATGCAGATGAAAATCAGTCTTCCGAATGGGATTCTCATGGCTTACCGGCTGATATCATTGTTCAATTGAATAAGCTCAGCGGATTTAAAAAATATAAAGTATCTGAGCTCGTGTTTGTTGATAAACAATCAACCACTGTTGTAGGTTCAGAAGATTCGTTTTTTGAAATGGTTTCACTAAGAGCTGGTGGCGTTTATACCAAAGCTCAGCTACAGAAAGAGCTTGAAACCCTAGCTACTTGTGGTATGTTTGAAAAAGTTGATCTAGAAGCGAAGACTAACCCCGATGGGACTATTGGATTAACGGTATCATTCACGGAATCCACTTGGGAAGAGGCTGAGCACTTTAGGTGTATCAATGTGGGGTTAATGCAGCAATCGAAAGGTGTTGATGCGGAAGATAACATGACTGAGAAGGAGAAGGTTGATTATATGCGCAACCAAGAGAAAGATTATCGTCGAAGGATGGATAAGGCACGTCCGTGTATGTTGCCATCTTCAGTTAATCGTGAAATTAAGAGGATGTTGGGTCAAGGGCCGGTGAGTGCTAGGATGTTGCAGAGCATCCGTGACCGGGTTCAGAAATGGTATCATGATGAAGGATATGCTTGTGCTCAGGTTGTGAATTTTGGGAATTTGAATACGGAAGAAGTTGTATGTGAGGTGGTGGAGGGTGATATCACAAGGGTGGTGATTCAGTTCCAAGATAAACTTGGAAATGTATGTGAAGGGAACACTCAACCTGGAGTAGTGAAGAGAGAATTGCCTAAACAGGTAATTCTGACCATCATTTTTGATTACTATCTGTTTGTCTATTATGCCTTCTCTTTTCTTTTGCGATTGTGGTTTGTTTTCAGGTGTACCATTACTAATCTTGCTAGTATTCATTGCATGAATCAGAAAATGTTGGAAACGTTGAGAATTTGCTGTTTTTTTATGCATGTTTTTTTTCTTCCAAGTCAATCATTCATGAAGAACCCAGATGCTCGTGATCTTTTCTTGATGTGCTAGTAAAAGAGCTGTTTTAATTAATTAGAGATTAGTGGGTTTTAAACAGTATTTTAAAAAAGTATGAACTGATAGAAAATAGTGTTTTGTAACCAATTTGGTTTATGAAAAATGCTTTTTATAAATTGTAAGCTTGATATTGATGTTTCATAGTTTGGAAAATTGGTTTCGAATACAAACACCTGTTGATTTTCTAACTTCAGTTAGGTTGGGCTTCAAAAACAAAGAAAAATAGTTTCCATCTTCTTTTTTTCTTTCTGAAATGATCTTATTTATTGAAAAGTTTGGTTGTGAAACAAAAATAAAAACTCTATTTACACTGTAAATAACAGTTATAAGTTTTAGTTGTATTATTAAGTGAAGAATATAGAGTTTTCTCATGGAGACAAGGACAACAGTAAGAATTATGTTTTGAATTTGTTACTTTGTTAGTAGTTTGTTTTCGTTCTAATAATCTAATTGTTGTTTTTATAAGAGACTTAATCGGTTTGATGTGTTTTCAGTGTTTGCATGAATCATGATAGATCTTCTGGTTAATTAAACAAAGTCATAATTTCACTTGCAGCTTCAAAAAGGGTATATTTTCAACATTGAAGCCGGGAAGCAAGCATTGCGAAACATTAATTCCCTATCTTTGTTCTCAAATATTGAAGTCAATCCACGCCCTGATGAGAAAAATGAAGGAGGGATTATTGTTGAGATTAAGCTCAAAGAGCTGGAGCAAAAATCAGCTGAAGTCAGTACTGAATGGAGTATTGTTCCTGGACGTGGAGGTCGCCCTACTTTGGTATATCGCTTTCTTTAATCTGAGCATTGGATTTGTGTTTCCAAACTATTATCTAATGCTCCTTTGTTATGCACTGTTTAGGCTTCAATCCAGCCTGGTGGAACTGTTTCTTTTGAGCATCGGAACATCAAGGGGCTTAATAGATCTCTTCTTGGCTCTGTGACTACAAGTAACTTTCTTAATCCTCAGGTAATTTCTCGTTGGCTTATGGATCCTTATTTATGTGTAGAAGATTTTTTGTCAAGAAACCAAAGGGCCAATGGCCCAGCAGTAACCAGGTTACCAGTAACTGTAAATCCCAACCTCCTTGGAGTTTAAGGGTTCAAGCCAGGAGTGTGTGTGAGTTTTGCTGTACATAAATGCTATACAATTTCAAGAAATTTTGTCAAGAACAGCGGTAACTGGTAATTTTTGCAGGATGATCTTGCTTTTAAGCTTGAGTATGTACATCCTTACTTAGATGGTGTATCTAATTCTCGAAACCGCACTTTGCGTACAAGCTGCTTCAACAGCAGAAAGCTCAGTCCAGTCTTCACAGGTGGACCAGGAGTGGACGAAGTTCCTCCTATATGGGTTGATCGAGCCGGTGTTAAAACCAATATTACTGAGGTGAACCTCCCTAACTGCATTATCTCTTGTGAATTATTTAAGGGATAATTACAAAAGTAACCATCTTGATTCTTGAGATAGGACCTCCCACAAAACCCCCTTTTTCCGAAACTTCTATAAAATGACCACCCATTTTGCAAATACATTATGCAAAATCCAAAAAATTCTTGCAAAATCACTTTATTGGCTGAACAATTAGGATGTTGTGAAATTTTAGCAAACATGTAACATTCCTTTAAGAAATATTTAAGAAATTTGCAAAACACTGAATTTCCAGTCAATAAAGTGATTTTGTGAAGTTTCTATTGGATTTTCTGGAACAGGTGATCATTTTGCACAATTTCAAAAAAGGGGTCATTCTATGGTAGGACTCATCTCAGAGTGGGGATTTTTTTGTTTATTTCATGATTTAAATACATTGTCTTATGATAAATCACCCACCCCCCAGAATTTCACTCGTCAAAGCAAGTTTACGTATGGAATTGTAATGGAAGAGATAACAACACGTGATGAAAGCAGCCATATCTCTTCAAATGGTCAAAGGGTTTTACCAAGTGGTGGTATTAGTGCAGATGGCCCTCCAACAACATTGAGTGGCACGGGCATAGACCGAATGGTATTTGCACAAGCAAATATTACAAGAGACAACACCAAGTTTGTAAATGGAGCAATTGTTGGTGAGAGGAATGTGTTTCAGGTCAGTCTTGTTACATTTTCAACCATCATAAGTTTCTACACTCTTTAAGGGTAGAAACTTTCTACTTATTTTGCACGCTTCTCACAAGTCGGGCCTTGTTATGTATTTAACCATCAGACTTGGTTTGGTTTGGTTGCAAGTTTGTACACTATCTTAGAACTATGTGAGTCATGGCAATTGGCACATTCATTTGTTCACAAGCTACAAATTGAACATGTCTCATAACTTGATTACATTGTTCATCTGACTGAGGTTCTTGGTTTGGATAGCTGATCATTTCAGTCAGTCAACTTATAATAGTTTACCGTTGTTCATGAATAGTTACCAGCACCTGTTGCTGCTAATGCTTACATAAACCTATCTGAAACATCATCTTCACTTGTTGACAATAGTTTTAACTTCTTTTTATTATGGTAACCAAACCAAACGAACCCAGTATATCCCAGGCAGAGGTTGGGTCTAGCCGTCTAGGAGGTAAGATGTATTTAGATCTTGCCTCTACCCCAAGGGTAGAGAGGCTGTTTCCGTGAAGACCCCAGGCTTACAGAACAAAAGCAAAAGACAAAGAGACATTCTTACTCTGTGTCCTTCAATCATCTTACCTATACTGATCAGGTTATTTAAGAGAATAACTTACTGACATTTTTTAATATGCATGACCTTCTGAGGCATTCTTGTGTTAGGAAGAGGCATTCCTCTATTAGGCAGTGATGTTCCTAAATCAGTCTGATGCTCATGCATTTAAAAAAATCTATCAGAAGATTATTCTTCTATATAATCGTTTCTGAACATGCTAGCTGGTTTGCTGTATTGGTATATGTATTATGTAGGATCCATGATAAATTACAAACATGAATATGGTTGTGCATTATGAGGTTGTACATTTTGCTTCTGAAAGGTTGAAACAGTATCTGATTAACATCTATATTGGAATTGCAGCTTGATCAAGGTCTGGGCATTGGCAGTAAGTTCCCATTTTTCAATCGTCACCAACTAACAATGACAAGATTCATCCAACTAAAGGAAGTTGAAGAAGGTGCTGGCAAACCCCCACCACCGGTGCTTGTTCTTCATGGTCATTATGGTGGATGCGTGGGAGACCTTCCTAGTTATGACGCCTTCACACTTGGGGGACCTTACTCTGTGAGGGGTTATAATATGGGAGAAATTGGTGCTGCCAGAAACATCCTTGAGGTACATACACATTACTCCTATTTCTTTTAATTATTTATTGATGTTATCTTGTTACAACCTCCGGATCTAGAGTATTTTGGCATATGCAATGAAAAATGGTTTTATCTTTATACTTGTTGCAGAGATACTTGTTCTATACTCCTTTGTCTTAAAAATTGCAACAATGGACCAACTTCATAGTTCAAGAGGAATGGTTAACTAATAATCAAGATCATGTTTGGCAACCATAAGCTAGCTTATTTTTCGATCTTGTTTAAAAAGCCTGGTTTGGTTAGCCATAAGCTAGTTTTTTGAAAAGCTGCTTGAAGTAGCATTTCAATAAGGTTCAAGGGCTCATCTCCAATTATGCTCTTTGTATATTTCAATTTTTTTTTCAACATGTCTTTTTAGGTCTTTTACATTGTCATATAGCTTATCAGCAAGTTTTTACGAAACATGACCGTTTTATCTGCTAGCTTAGCGGTTAGTTTGCCAAACATAGCCAAAATGTCTTGAGCATCCTTAAATTATGGCAAATTAATGGACTTATGTGGACCCAAATCAATGTCATCACTCGTTAGTTCTTCGTAATAATGACAATGGACATCCTAGAAGAGAAGAATATCAATTGTCATGAGACAGGCAGGGTGTTTGGTCTAATCTACCATTGCTTTCTTCCAAGTCCACAAATCCAAATCCAAATTTTGGATTCTAAAATCGACTTCTTTTACCCCCAAAGTCAAATCTATTTCTGATTCTTCAGAGAGGAAGGAGGATTAAGAGGGTTCTTGATTGGGGGTATTAGGGGGTGAGGAATGGGAATGGGAACGAATAATGGTGCTTAGTTCAATATAATGCAATTATTGATTAAAAGGTGGCTAATCATCCGTACTCTATTAAATTGGGAGGAATATTGGGGAATGAAAATAACTCATTATTAAGGTTCAAAATAGCCTGTGGCGTGGTCTTGAGGTCAAGCCTCAAGCCTTACATGCCATGGCGAGGATGTGGCGTTTTTTCAAGGCGTGACATAAGGTGGCAAATTTGTATGTTATATATAGAATTGTATATGTACACATATATGTTTTTTATATATTATTCAGTCAGATAATGATATTGGAAAATTTATATTCATCTTAGAAGAAGAAAAATCATATCGGTTATTATATTCAAAATAGAATTTAGAAGGGTAATTTTACAACTTCGTTTTTATCGTGAGTCTCTGATGTGTATGAATTCGTGAAACTGTGAGTGATGTGATTAAAATATCTATGAAAGTGTAAAAACATAAACGCTAAAAAAATTAAAAAATATATATTTTTGAAAATAGTCATGCCTTGTAAAGAAACGCACACTGTGACGCGCCATGGTGCAAGCCACGCCTTACAGAAACACTATAGGCCTTATCATAGCAATGGAGACGCATCTGCCCCTTTTTGTACACCTAATGTTATTACCCATTTCCATTAAAAAATTGGGGGGGGGGGGGTTTGATTGGCTAATGATTTTCCATTCCCCAGTCATTCCTTATCATTACCCATTTCCATCTCCATTCCCTTAAATATAACCAAACTCCCCCTAAATGTGGGGGCGTAACCATTGAATTGATACTACCATTATCTGCAAGCGTGTGACTAACCGATATTTACCCGTTGCCTGCAGCTTGCTGCTGAAGTACGTGTACCAGTGAGAAACACACACGTATACTTATTTGCAGAACATGGGAATGATCTGGGGAGTTCAAAGGATGTGAAAGGAAACCCGACTGAGGTCTACCGACGGATGGGTCATGGTTCATCCTATGGTGTTGGTGCCAAGCTAGGTTTAGTACGAGCCGAGTATGCCATTGATCACAACTCTGGGACTGGTGCCCTATTTTTCAGGTTTGGGGAGAGATTTTGATTTATCGTATTTCGATTAAATTCTATGATTTTAATTTTCTATCCGGTTTTGCGATTTGGATAGAACGGTGATGATGATCTTGTGTGGATGAAACTGAAGTGTTAATTTGTAGAAATTTGGTAATTTTGTTTGCACCTATTTGAGATGTATACGTTTAACATACACCCCAGGAATAAATGGTGTGTGTTTGGTGTTGCATTTGGTTGGTTTTGGATTTTAGGTATGATGGATGATGATGATCCATAAATATATAATTTTAACTTTAAATTTTTGTTCAGAGCTAGAGACTTTGGTTTGGGTCATCTGATACCGGTGTAAAGTGGTCTCGACTCAATCGAGTAGTAAGAATGTGTTTGGCATGCAAACGGAACTACTTTCGCTAGGTGATGTTAAAAGGTTTAGGGTATTTATTGGACATTGGTAGTTTGATAATTTACCGATCATGTCCCACCTCCTTGTTTAGGATGCCCCTGTCAACTTGTATGTATCTTGATTAGTTTCAGGTAGAAATGGCCAAAAACCGGTCCCGGGCCGGGCCGGTCCCAATCGGTCCTAACTTTTCTCATAACTGGTCCCGGTCTCGGTCAAAAATGATAGGACCGGTCAAGGTACTTCATAACTGGTTATGGGCCGCCGGTCCCGGTCCCAACCGGTCCTTGCATTAAAAAATAAGATTTTTTTTTTAATTTTTTAATAATATATATTTTAATACATTATAAAATTTACAATTTGGCCACTCAAATACACTTTAAAAATGCGTTTTAATATAATTAAAATTACGTTTTCTTATAAAAATACATTATAAAACTATTTAAAAATACATTTATTTATAAAATTATTTGAATTTTCGGGCCGGGCCGGTTCATAGTCGGTTCCATAACCGGTCCCGGTCCCGGTCGGTCCCATGAAACTACCAAAAATCTCAACCGGTCCCGGTTTTTGGTCCCATAACTGGTCCTTACCGGTCCTGGGCCGGTCCATAGTCGATCCCGGTCCCGGGCCGGGCCTGGCCGATTTGGCCATCTAGGAAAATTCTCAGTGGCTTTACATGACTCGAACCGATAACCTCTGATGAGAATCCTCAAAGGCCTTTGATGACCTTTTAGGAGAATCTTTAAAAGACCCAAATCTTATTGTTAGTTAAACTAGTTGTGTACATGCGTAATGCGGCGAGAATCGTGAATTTTAACGATTTTGAAGTTTCACTGGTTTTATTAGAGAAGATTTAACGATGATACAAGTTATACTTGATCTTTACATATTAATACAATTTGAATAAATAAGAGTTATGGTTCCAATTACAGTCTATCGATGAAAAAAGTTGTATGACAATCTAAAATCCAATATATTTAAACGATTCTATAAATKTGTTCGATTTACACCAAAAGCAAAGAATCAAGAGATCGAAAGCGAGACCGAGAGTTCTAGAACAATTGAATTGGAGATGAATGAATAACTCATAATGAGTATCATTTTGAATCTCATATTGGGCGATTGGGAGAAGACATAGAGGTATAAGAGGGTGAAGGCATGAGTGAAATGTGTCAAAAATATCTTAGGAACATGAAAAAAAAAATAATAATAATATGCATTGGTAACTTATATTATATGTTATTTTAATTGTAGATTAAGAGATTTTAAAACTAAATGCATAAAGTAGTAATACTTAATACATTATGAGTTGTTTTTAAGACTTTATGCATAAATGTATGGTACTTAATGCATAAAGTTGTTTTTATGTTCATCTTCGTTTGTTAAGAAAAAGCATTTATTCATCTTCGTTTGTGTTCCTTCATTAAGAAAAAATGTTTGTTTGTAAAGGAATGAACATAAATAAAGAAAAAAACCACCATTATTCGTCCTTTTGTTCTTTAAAAATAACGTGACAAATAAAAATCTGAAACCGAATAAATAAATAAACTTAGGAGGGGTAAAAAAGGCATACTAAAAATTTAATTTAATTAATGATTTTATATATCGAGGTTATAACATATAAATATATTTTATATTATGTAAACAGACGTAAATAAACGAATATAAATGAACGAGCAACATCATTGTTCATGTTTGTTCATTTACTGAAGAAACACACTTCCCACCAAACAGTTTGCTGAATGTTCGGTTCGTTTAAAACCTTATAACACCATCCACTATATTAAGGTAGAGATTTTGAATTTTTTTTATTACAACAGTTATGCTAAACTGTATCTCTAAACTTAAGAAACCTCAAAAAATTTAATGATTGATGAAAGATATAATATTTTAATTCTTTTCGCCGATAAGTTTGAATGTAATTTTTTATAAAGATTTTGGTTTTTGATACTTTTTCAATTGTGGAACGTGTGAAATTCGATTTCATTTCATATGTAAATCGAACATTGGAATAAAATTTGATCAAAAAAATTAGTCATTAGTGACGAACCCAAAATTTTTACTGAGTCGGTGCAGTTTTAAGGTGGATCAACGGCCTGCAAAGTCGTTCGATGTATTTTTAGCCGAATTCCACCGTTTCGAGGGATTTTTAAAGTTTTTTGGTTGATTTTGATCGATTTTTAAAGCTTTTGGTTGAAGTCAAAGACTTTTTTCGATTTTTTGAATCTGTTAATATCCGAAAACACCCCTCAAAGTTTAACAGGTGTACATTTCATACCCTAAAAAAATCTACTTACAAAAATGAGGTGAACAACTGTACGAGACTTGATAGGGTTATACCTGTTGATCATTCCAATTCCTTCAAATTATGACGAAATCTTCAAACCAAAAACAGTCAATCTCTACATAACAATAATTAACTTATTTAATCATTACCGATTTAAAATGTATACAGATCCAAAAGAAAATTCTATAATAAATAAAAATAATAGTTACGCTACAGCCTACGACAAATAAAACCTGTAAGGATTGGTGTGTAACTCAGTTAACAAAGGGATTAGGTGATTTTATCTAAATATAACACAGGTCTTGAATTTGATCCTAGACCTCTCGCTACCAAAGCCGGTAAATGAGGCTAAAAATGCCCTCTCACACATTAGCGTTCTCGAAAGATGTGGAATTGGTTGAAGTCGTCAATAATCAATTTTTTGTGAAATACTAAAATAAATAAAAATTAGGATCAATTTCATTAAATTTTATGATTAAAATAAGTAAGTTGATTTGGATTGATATTTATGGTTTGATGATAGTGACGGCCAAATCAGTCCGAGACCAGTGAGGACTAGTTACAGGACCGCCGGTTACATCTGGTTCATGATTTTGTTGGTTTTGTGGGACCGAGACCGGTTATGGGACTGGTTAAGGACCGGCTCGGCCCGACCAGAAATTTCAAAATTTCTAGCCGTTAGAGAGCCATTTTTTGGCTCATAAACACTATAAATATGTGTTTTGATTGAGAGATTTACATACCGAGTTCTCAATTCGCAAAAAACGTAAAAAAACATTCACAATTCTCTGTTTCTCGCTATATTTTGTGAATTTGAGTCGTATTCATTTCTCGTTTCAACTTCACAATTAACATTTATTTCTCTCTTTGTCTTACAAAATGACTGGTGAACAATATGATGCATCAAACGAACAAGTTACCCAAGTTCTAACCAAACACAGACGAAAGTCCGAAATTTGGAATCACTACAACTTGGTGGTCCTCACGGACGGAAAAAGAAAGGCATAATGCAAAATGTGTCAAGCTCTCTTTACGGCGGAATGAAATTCTACCTTAAGGAGGCACATCGAAAAAACATGCCCGGGATTGAGGTCGGGGGGTTGAGCGTACATCCTGACATTTATTCAAACGTGTAATCGCGTTTGAACCGTTTGGTGCTCCACATTCGGGTGCACGTCAATTTTCAATTATTAAAAAATGTCTTGCATTTTATAATTTAACTGCTAAAATAATTAACATTTCATTTAATCATGCTAGTAATAACAATCTTTGTGTGGAAAAATTGAAGTGTCATTTGACACCTATTTTATACGGTAAATTATTTCATACACGTTGTTGTGCACGCATAATAAATTTAGCCGTTCAAGATGGTTTAAATACTTGTAAACCCTATAATAGATAAGTTTTAGACTTATGTTGCGGCGAATTTTCACAAAGAATAAGAAAATGAATGCGGAATATAAAAAGTATTGCGAGAACGTTGGTTTTAGAGTTTTGAGACCGAGGTTCGATATGCCCATTCGTTGGAATTCGACTTATTTTATAATTGAAAATTTGATAAAACAAAAAAAATTATATTTTCCCATTTTGTAGACACCATTACCCTCAAAATTCGATTGAGAATCTTGATTGCGCCGTGATCGATAGGATTATACGATATTTTAGGCGATTTTAAAAATGCGACAACACTTTTATCGGTATTTATTATCCAACAGACTCTATAGTTTTAAACCGATTATATATTTTGTCAAGTAAGATTGCCCAATACGAAGACCATCACGATTGGGGAAGGTTGATGTCTTCAATGAAAAAGAAATTATTAAAATATTTTGTAAGCATCTTATTTATTTTTCTTTGTGCTGCGGCGTTAAACCCGTATTTAAATGTTATCAGTGTTGAAGTTTAATTAAACAAATATGTGTGACTTTTGATTTAGATATCGCTACGGATAATTCTTTTTCAATGGAACAAAAACGTTTATTTAATTGTAATTTTCAAGATTTATTTAATCATTACAAACATTTTTACAGATGAGGAAACCAACAACAGAGCTCTTCAAGTCGTGGTTTTGCGGGTTCTAGTTCTTCTTCTAGTGGCCATCGACAAAGTCAGAAAGAGTTGATGAATAATTTAATAAACGATGTTTTAAATGAATCAAATAATAAAAGTTGATTTGATAACGATTTGGGTGAACTAAATATGTATGTACATATTAACTTTATGGCCGCATACCCCGCAAATGATGTCGAAGATTTTGAAAAAATTGATTTATTAGATTTTTGGAAATAAAAACAATCTCAATTCCCGGTTTTGGCGTGCATGGCACGTGATATACTAACAATCTAAGCTAGTACCGTAGCTTCAGAGTCTGCTTGTTCTCTTAGTGGCATGATCATCTCCATACGTCGAACAAGACTAAACCCGGAGTCCGTGGAGTGTTGCATATGTTTGAAGGATTATTTTGATAGCGTTGATAGGATTCAACACACGACATCGTTAGAGATGGAGATTGAAGCGGCGGAAGAAAATTTGGAAGAAAATGGATAAGCACGCGCCAACTACCGATACCGATGACACTTACTCACAATATTATGATGGTGAGGAACTCGACATTGATGACCACAAGGCTATTAAAAGAATTCAAGATACCGGAATTCTTCAAATCAATCCGACATATGATACCGATGAAGATTGATGAATAAACGTATTTTCAAATAACTTTATAATAAATTTTTGTAAGACAATGTAATTTTAATTATATTAAAACGTATTTTTAAAGTGTATTTAAGTGAGCCGTACGATAAATTTAACAATGTATTAAAAACATATATCATTAAAAAAAAAAAAATTTAAATTTTGGACCGGTTGGGACCGGGACCCTATAACCGGTTATGGCCGATTACGAGTTAAGTTGGGACCGACTCGGCCCGACCCGTGACCGGTATTTTGGACATCGCTGTTTGATGATGTATTTATGATGATGGGCCGGAGAATTGATCGGCGTCGTCAATATCCACCTCGAAACCCAATCCAATGAAATCCACAATCGAAAGTAGAGATGGCCAAATGGGCCCGGCCCGGCCCGGGACCGCCGGAGGACCGGGACCGGGACCGGGACCGACAAAGGACCGGCTCGGGACCGACAAAGGACCGGCCCATAACCGGTTATAAAATTCCTATACCGGTCCTATCATTTTCGACCGGGACCGGGACCGAGACCAAAACCGGTTACACCGGGATCGGTTATGGCCGGAGGTGAGGACCGATTGGGACCGGCCCGGGACCGGTTTTTGGCGATTTCTAATCGAAAGCGAGAATAAGATATTTAAAAGAATCCATGGATTTCCTAAAAATATCTAAGTCGGTACTTTTCCTTCCCTAAAAACACCATTTTAACAATAAATAATACATCTAACCTATCAAATATCTCACAACAGTTGATGTGGATCCCGTTTCTTCCACTTTTTCATCTCAAATCTGTACAATTTTCCTCCAGGATTGATGATTTCTTGAGTTTTTTGTGAATTTTGATCTAGTTTTATGGGAGAAGAAGTCAGAATTACTGAATATGATGTCCGTGGCGGTGGCGGTGGCGGTGGCGGTGGCGGTGGCGGTGGCGGTGGCGGTGGCGAGGATGATGATCGAGTTTTCGAGTGGGAGGCAGGGTTGCCGAACGTAGATGATTTGACGCCGTTGTCACAGTCGTTGATCTCTGCGGAGTTGTTGTCGGCGTTCAGCATAACGCCGCAGCCTTACCGGAGTATGATTGACGTCAATCGTGCTTCTCAGAACACGCTCTCGAATATGCGAGGGGCGTTGGAGAAACAGTCGTCGACCAAATATAATAGTTTCAAGTCGTTTAGTGATGATAAAGGATATGATGAGATGGTTGTGGAAGGGGAGGAAACCGCCGATCATGGTTCGGATACGCGGAAATTACGGAGAGTCGATAGTGGCGGTGATGGCGGTGGAGCCGGTGAGGAAGCTGAATCCGCTTTGCTTGCCGATGATTCGTCGGCGAGGACATCGAAACGGCCTCGTTTGGTCTGGACACCGCAATTGCATAAGCGATTTGTTGATGTTGTAGCGCATTTGGGCGTGAAAAACGCCGTTCCTAAAACAATTATGCAGTTGATGAATGTTGAAGGATTGACGCGAGAGAACGTCGCGAGTCATCTTCAGAAGTATAGGCTATATCTGAAGAGGATGCAGGGTTTATCTACCCAAGGTCCTTCGTCTTCAGATTACCTTTTTGCTTCAACTCCGATTCCTCAGAACTTGCAGGAATCCGGCGGTGGTAATGGACATCGTTATGCTCCAGGGACAACTCCGGTGCCTTACCCGGCCCATATGGTTCCTATGCCTTACCCATCACCTCAGATGGTTCCTAATTCTGCAGTGGGTGATGGGGGTGCTTACCATCATGGATATGAATCCCATTCGTATCCATATAACATGACTATGCAGCAGAGAGACTGGTCTGGAAATAAGTTTGCTTCAGTTTCAGCGTATCAGCATCGTACGACTCCTAATGATAAATAGAAACTCTCTACTCCTTGGAAATTACCCAAGCAATGGAGGGGTGAGATTTTCATACTTTTCTGCTTACACATGAATGAATACAAATTAAATCCTTTGTTTTGCTACTCCATCTTGATATCCTGCTTATACTCTTTATCATATTGGTAATTCAAGTGTGTAGGCAGCTATTTGCCTGTTTTTTGCTCTAAAGTGTTGATTTCCTATTACCTGACTGTTTCGATTAGGAAATAGAGTAACCATGGAGATTAAGATGTAGTTTGGAAGTTAAAGACTAATATTTGGTTGAGATTAAGAAGCCAAGATAGATGTCAATTAGTTGCAACAGTATCCTTAGGTTAAGCTGATATGTCTTTATAGTGGATGTGATTCTCAACCAATGATTCAAATATTTCTTGATGGCTGGATGATGGTTCCTGGACTCCATTTTGAATGATGTATGATAAATTCTTGATGAGGGGCTTGTTTTAGAGTGGCTATTCTACAAGCTCATCTATCTCATTTTTGTCCACAGGAACCATGTTGGTTGTATATCTATCTTGTGTCTTGTGTATTTTTGTCTTTCTTAAATGGTTATCAGACCGATACACTGGTTCCTAGATTGGGAATCATAATCTAAGGGCTGTAAAGATGTTGATAGATTAGACCAAAGACACTTGGTTATGTATCTATCCTTTTCTTGTAGTGTTATGCACTTGATGAACATCTTGAATGTCGACTACAGTGTTCTTTTTGACAAACCAGTTCTCTTTTGCTCCTTTCCTTCTCTTGCTTTTGCTGTCTTCTTTCTCATGGATGGTTAGATCTCACTTTGTCTCTCTGATACATACAAGGTTCCTTGGATCCAATTCCCTTGTTTGGCCCTGTTCTGTTCCACACTTATTTCTGACTATACACACACACACACACACACACGAACCTCAAAGGATTTAAGTCCCAATAGCACCACTAATCCTGGCCTTCATGATTATCAATATAATGAAGTTCAGGGCTTTTATGCAGCATTAGAATGATGAAAAGGAAAGATAGCATACTCGTTAAAAAATTCCCTAGCTAATCATTCAGGCCTAAACCAAACAAAACCAAATCAAACATACCCAGTATATCACAACCGAACGTAGGGTCTAGGAGAGGTAGAATACTAGAATGTACACAGACCTTTCCTCTACCAAAGGAGTAGAGAGGTGTTGTCCATTAAGACCCCAGCTTTCAATGGTTGTAATCATTCAGGTCTATTATGGAGTAGTATGGAGTTTCTAACTTGCTACCTCTGTTTTTCCTTTTATTTGCTTTTTTGTGGGATTATGTTTTTTGTACTCGATTTCTGCTGCAATTCCCTATTGGATTTACCATGAAAGTGAATTACTTGATTTGGGCTGTTGATCTCTATTACATGCTATGATTTGCACACCTTGAAAGTGTCTGATGATCTATCATTGCGCTAGAGTTTTGGTCCATTCGAACATGAACATTTTGATCTTTTTGAACCATGGTATTTGACACTATTTGTTTATAAACATTCATTCTTTCACTATGTAAGCTTTCATAGAAAAGCTGCTGTGCTATTTTGATTATGAGTAGAACCGTTGATGGTTCAGTTACAAGTCAATAACTCTATTAATACATGACATGGGGGTCATATAATTTACATTTGGAGTTGCATCAAGTAGATTGTATATATCGTCCAACTCTTTTTGCTAACTACTCATGTATGGCTTTTGCAGATGTCCGTAGGGTATGATCAAGTCTAAACATCATGTAACCATAACAAGATCTTATAACCCGATCTTGATTACCCAAAAGACCCTATCGTCATTATCTTTTTCCTAAAGAACAAGAGAAGTTCGCCTGAGAGTAAGTATACCTTTGATAACTCGTCTTACATCGATGGAAAACATATTTTATGAGCTTCTTATAAGTCAAGGTTGTGAGCCACTAATAACTTCCACGATGATTTTAAGTTGATTTAGAAGTTATTGGCTAGTGCTAGTCTACTGTTTTGGACTTTCACAAATTGGGTCTCTACAGGAACAACTTCTCCGATGAAAAGATTGCTTAAACTTTATCCCTCCCAAACCCTACTTCAATATGTGATTTACGTGGTTCATATAATTTGATTAGGTTTTTATTGTTTTGTAATCATGGCCCATGGGTGTCTTGGACTAATCCTATGTAACCTCAGAGAACAACTAGGAAAATCTTCGTAGACTCGAACCAGTGACCTGTAAGAAGTGGTAAAGATCATGTCTTATTGTCGGTTGAGCTAACATCGATATATATATATATATATATATATATATATATATATATATAT